TTGGATCATAACCATGGGATTTTAATAGAAAAACTGTTGAAGATCAGTGTAGTCCCCTTATTTTACAGTGAAGAAGCCAAAGCCCAGAGAAGGGTTATTAACTTTACAAGTGTCCAACAGTAGTTAGAACTTACTTATTTTTGAGACGGAGTTTTGCTCTGTCACCTAGGCTGCGGTGCAGTGGTGTGGTCTCTGCTCACTGCAACCTTTGCCTTCCAGGTTCAAGCGATTCTCCTGCCTCAGCCTCCCAAGTAGCTAGGACTACAGGTGTGCACCACCATGCTCGGCTAATTTTTGTATTTTTTCAATAGAGACAGGGTTTTGCCATGTTGGCCAGGCTGGTCTCAAACTCCTGACCTCAGGTGATCCACCCACCTCAGCTTCCCAAAGTGCAGGGATTTCAGGTGTTAGCCTCCATGCCTGGCCGTAGAACTTGTTTCTGTTCCCTTCTCACTGTGCCTGTACCAAGGTGTTGCTTATCCCAGAAGTCATGATGCAGGCCTTTGCTCTCTCTGTTGGAAGTTGTAGCAGTGTTTATTTTTAAAATGTATTTGGGAACTTTAATTCATAATTTGGCTTTTTTTTTTTCCTTATAAATAGGCTGTACCAGTGCAGGTCCTCACTTTAATCCTCTATCCAGAAAACATGGTGGGCCAGAGGATGAAGAGAGGTGAGCAACAAGATGCTTAACTCTCTTAATAATGGCAGTAGCTTTCTGGAGTCCGTGTGGTGTACTACTGTAAATACGTGCCAAGGTAGTTCTGTCTGCTCCCCACCTTTGCTTTTGAACTTGACTCTCATCTAACCCCCTGCCCCCAAATGCTGGAATGCTTACTTGCTGGGCTTAAAGGAGTTGACAAATGGGGACACTTAAAACGATTTGGTTTTGTAGCATTTATTGAATATAGAACTAATACAAGTGCCAAAGGGAATACAGGAAATGTCATGAATAACAGTACTGTCAACCACTAGCAAAATCAGTCATCATTATGAAACATAGGAAACTTCTTAGATTAAAAAAAATTGAAATTGAAAACTAGTTGAGACTCCGTTTGTATGCGTCTTTTCTGAAAGCCTTTCAGGAAAATATTAAAGGACAAAATTATTTTTGTAACAGAGGCCCTGGGACATAGCTTTGTTAGCTGTGCCAGAAATTAACAGGCTTAACTCAGTAACTGAGAGTTTACCCTTTGGTACCTCTGAAACGAGGTGCACCCCTATCTTTCTTCCCAGAGCATTAGTCTGTAGACTTGAAGCCTTGTTGGAAGAGCTGTGTCTAGAATGCCTAGCTACTTGTTTCCAAATTTGTGTTTACTCAGTCAAGTTTTAATTTAGCTCATGAACTACCTTGATGTTTAGTGGAATGAGCCCTGATCCATCTGATGCTGTTTCATTATCAGGCATGTTGGAGACCTGGGCAATGTGACTGCTGGTAAAGACGGTGTGGCCAATGTGTCAATTGAAGACACTGTGATCTCACTCTCAGGAGACCATTCCATCATTGGCCGCACGTTGGTGGTAAGTTCTCATGAAAGGATGTGCATAAAACTTCCTCTGACATACAGTCATGTATCTTTGCACTTCATGATTGTTAGTTGTGGTTTCTAAAGATCCAAATAAATTGTACTTGCCGTTCAAATTTGGAAAAGCAAATTTTTTTGGATGATTACAGTGAAAATGAATTATTCCATCTAGGTCAGTTAAGAACACTGTTCTGCTAAGATGCAGTAAAAAGCAGGTTACATTTGAGCGTATTAGAAGATCTGAATTGGGAAAGACAGAAGTAATGTTTGGTTTTAAAGTGGTCAGATTTTCTTGCCAGGATTGGGTTTCTCACTTGTTAAACAGAACATTTTGTTAAGTTTAAAACCTGGGACGGACTTCAGTATTCATGTTCACTCAGGTCTGCAGGTTATCAGGACTGGTATAACTTGTGGAAAGCTGCTGCCCCAAGTTATCCTGGGGAACTGCATCTGGTTCATGCCAAACGCCAAGCAGAGGCTCTCTCTACCTACCCTTGAGGGCATTAACAACAGTCATTAGTCCCATCCATTCAGGTGACCCTTTCTATGGTTTTCCTGAGCCATAGTTGTAAAGCAGAAAAGTCATTTATAAAGGTTTGATGAGCAAAATTCAAAATACTATTGCTAAAAGATGAAGGTATTTTTAGGGTTGTATCTTATTTATAGGCCTGTTTCTCATTTGGCATGAAATTTTGAGGTTTTTCGTTCACTTTCACTTTTTTTTCCAAAGCAATTTAAAAAACTGCCAAAGAGTCACTGCTGAACTAAGGTTACTGTAATTTATGGAGGATTAAGAGTAGTGTGGTGGTCTACAACACAGTTACTTGGGTTTTTAGTATTTTCATTTAGACATAGCAACACTTACCTATTGTTTAAAGGTAATGTCTTTGCAACACCTAGACAAAGCCTTTAGTAGTCGTTTCTACTTTTAAACTACTAAATATTAGTATATTTCTCTACTAGTAGGATTAATGTTATTTTTCTAATATTACAGGGTTCTTAAACATCTTTTAGGTATTGTTGGGAAGAGGTAGTGATTACTTGACAGCCCAGAGTTATCTTCTTAAAATTTTTTACAGGTCCATGAAAAAGCAGATGACTTGGGCAAAGGTGGAAATGAAGAAAGTACAAAGACAGGAAACGCTGGAAGTCGTTTGGCTTGTGGTGTCATTGGGATCGCCCAATAAACATTCCCCTGGATGTAGTCTGAGTCCCATTAACTCATCTGTTATCCTGCTAGCTGTAGAAATGTAACCTGACATTAAACACTGTAATCTTAAAAGCATAATTGTGTGATTTTTTAAAAAAAGTTGCTTTAAAGTACCTGTAATGAGAAACTGGTTTATAATCACTTGGAAGATTTATATAGTTTTATAAACCTCAAATTAAAATGTTTTAGTGACCTGTATTTTGCCAGACTTAATCACAGATGGGTATTAAACTTGTCAGAATTTCAATTCTCTTCAAGCCTGTGAATAAACACCCTGTATGGCCCTATTTTGAGCCTATTAAAGAATCCAAATTCAAACCAAATTAGCTCTGATATTTATGTAAATAGCTTCAGTGGAACAGATTTACTAATATTAACTGATAGCATTTTATTTTGAAAGTGTTTTGAGACCATCAAAATGCCTATTTTTTAAACAGCAGGTCTTTTAGCTGAAACTAACAACTCTGCTTGGACCAATAGGCTTTCCTTTGTAAGCTTCAGGGAGATGTCCCTGCTTCGTGATTTTAGCATTCATAAAGTACCTCCTTACTTTAAAAAGCTGTTACGGTGTAAGGGAGCCATTGATAACATTTAGCTTTAAAAGGCAGTTACAGCTTCAGTTAGCAGTATTATCTATGTGCCAGAGTGGCACAAATTCCACATTCAAGGGTAGAGGTAAAGATTAGCCCTTTAAAGAAATCTGTAGCATTAGAAGATGGAACAAAGGAAATGTTTTATTGTGGGTTCTGGCTGTTTCTGAGTCACTTTCTCTTAATGTATTATGTACCTATGAGGGAATGCTTTTATTAAATATTAATCTAACTCAGGTTTGACAAGTTTATTCCATTGGAAATTACTTCTGATAAACCAAGAATAAGTGACAAACCTGTTTCTTCATAAATACGTACTTTATCAAATGTAAGATGATTGAGGAGAGGAAAAGCTAAACTGAAGACAAAGTTGTAGTGTTTCTGAAGTTTTAAAATTACAGGAAAGAATATGCTCACAGTAAGTGGTGAAAACAACCATCCTTTAAATCTTGGTAGAGAATCTTTAAAAAACAGCATTTAACAGATTTCCCTAATGCAGTTTGTTGCACATGTGGAATAACTCAAATACAGAGACCTACTTAAGCCTTTTAAAGTTTCACATGTAAAATCGCACTAGTAGTAGCTTATTCATGTGCATATAGGATGGTCTCAGTACTTTCAATTGGAAATACAGGCTGTAAGTCCTTGAAGTCTGGATGTTGGGTAATCACATTTTCTTCCAAGCCCATTTGTTAGGACTTTTAAACTTCTCAGTGGGACAGTGTAAAATTAAGGACAAGTTTTATAATTTAAATTCAAAATTTCCTCTCATTTTCTAAAAGCAGGAATATAAGGACATTGCCCTAGACATATTCTCCCCATCAAATCAAAGATCTTATTTAAAAACCAGAGTAATAAAGCAGCTTTGCCTGAGGATGAAGGCAAAGACAAGGTTAACTGCTCAACACACTGAAACCAAGAGTTTAATTAAAAACAACTTTGAGGCCATAAATACTGGGATAGTGTGACATCAGATCTTGGCACTGGATTTCCTGCAATTTCAGATGAAGGCTTGGCTTGGCTTTGAATGTCTTCATGTGACAATTCTTGGATAACCTATGATTTTTCCTAGTTAACCCAGCAACTTTAAGCAAAAGAAAGTACATGTGGGGAGAAAGTTCGGTTTACCTCTGCCCAGCAGGGGAATTAAACGTAGAGGCAACAGGCAAGGCTTATATAAGAAAACAATAGGTTGCAGTGAAGTCCTCAAACATATGGCAAAAACCTTTTAGGTTGCAAATGTTAACCTTGATTCTTTTACCCTTTTGAAAAATTTAATAGGATGGTTAAAAAAAAAAAAAAACACACACATGCAACCTTTCAACGTAATACCCAGGCAATCAGATAATTTGTAGTACAACTCGTAACACCGGGATCTAACTTACTCCAGCAAAATCTCCTTACAAATTAATTAGGGCAACATTTACCACAAAGCCAATGAGGGAAAAAAGAAAACTTCGACTGAAATTGCAAACACAGCTTTTCAATTGACATTAAAACTAACCTTTACCTAAAAATCAAAAGTATTACATATGAAAGTGAGAATAACTACATAAAGTGTCTATTTTCATTTCAAGTCTAATTTAGACTCCAATACAGTATTAACAGATCAAACTTTGACAGTGAACAATCCTTTTCCACCTTAATGCAGTGTAGGAAGAATAGCACACATTAAAGTTTGTTACGAAAATAGAGTTTATTAAAAACATCCCTATTGTTTTGAGGAGCTTTCACCGTTACCTTGTCTTAAATTAAAAAAAAAAAAAAAAAAAAATAGAGAGCACTTCTAATTACGATTTGTAAACTTTTTAAAGTCAAAACTTTTAAAAAGTTACAGCAAAAAGGGTAATATTTATTCATATTTTCAGTATTTTTTGTTATTTTGTGGCTATTTTTAAATAGAAGGGAAGCAATCAAATTGCTTACAGATCCCCACCAGCTGGCGCGGGGCTGCAGTACAGCGGGAGCAGATATAATACAGCATCTGTACACCTCAAGCTCTACACTCCAGGAAGTGTCACTGTCACATTTTCACAAATTCCAGTCTCTAACGAGGAGCCTCTGCTGCTGAGCCAGAATCCTTTTCGGGTTCAACGGATGAGGTAGCCTCAGCAGGTAACTCTTCAGAAGGCTTTAGGACTGCGGCCTCAGACTCCCCTTTCTCCAGTTCTGAAGCAGTGTCTACATTTCCCACTTGGCTAATGGGAGGTTCAATGGTTTTGTTACCACCTGACCTGTCTGTTACCTCAGGCTTTTCCTTTCCTCGGGTCTCTTCCTTCTCTCTACGAGACTCTCTATCTCTAGAATCTCTCTCTCTGTCTCGATGCCCACTAGAGCGTCTATTTCTGTCTTCCAAGTCTCTGTGCCTGTCCCGGTCAGGGCTCCTCCTTCCCCACTCTCTCCTGTCACGGTTACTATTATCTCTATCATCATTACGGTTCCCATACCGTTCCCGGTCATTTTCCACCCGATTTCCGAAAGATCTTCTTCCAAACCTTTCTTGGTCTCTACCTGAATTGAATTGCTGCCTGTTATCATTTCTAAACTGCTGCGGCGGCTGCTGTGATGGTGGAGGCTGTTGTGATGGTGGCGGCTGCTGCTGCTGCTGTTGCTGCTGTTGCTGGGGCGGCTGCGGCTGTGGTTGCTGTTGCTGTTGCGGCGGTTGTTGCCTTCCGTCTCTGTCTTCAGGGCCCCCTGGGCCTGGCCCTGGGCCCCCGAGCCCTGGCATTCCACCAGGCCTAACAAAGGGGCCATGCGGTGGGAAGGGACCTTTCATTCCGTGAGGCGGAGGCATCGCAAAGCCCGCTGGTCCTGGCGGTGGGCCTCTGTGCATCATGTGCGGCGGCAGGGGACGGGGCGGCATCAGAGGGAACCGCTGTAAGTGAGGTGGAGGCATTCCCGGAGGGCGCTGGAGCGGGATGAGGCCGGGCCGGGCGCCAAGAAGACCAGTAGATGGTGCCTGGAGTCCGATTACAGGACCCGGGGCAACTCCTTGAGTGCCTAAAAGATGATAAAAATAAAAATGTAAATAGGACAGAAGATGGACACTTCAGTTTCAGCTGTGTTCTGTGGAGCTTAAAGCACAAAATTCAATCCACCATCTTCAAATTTCATATTGTTTGCCAGTCTACCTGTCACAAACCCAGTGTGAGGTCCAGTAACAAGCTAAGGCAAGCAACTGCAAAGACATCTTTAAAGTATCTAATACAGGTAGGGGCCAAAATAAACGCGAAAGAAAATAGTAATGCTAATACCTATTTTTGAACAGTATGTCAAAATCTCCTGTGCTTTCATTAGAGGCTGTTTTCCCACTCCAAATACATTTGAGAAACACAATGTGCTAAGTCCAAATGAGATGAATACATTCACTATCAATAACTATTCAAGCCAACTAAGCATACCGCAGGTGCACACTTGGAAAATTTACAAGCTAAGTCTTTTTACTTATTACTAGGAAAAAAATGAGGTCACAGACCTAGAAAACCCAGTAAAAAGGAAGATCTCTTTGATTCCATGCTACACTTAGTCCATATTAAAATGCCTGTAGTTATTATGCAATGTAAATCAATTAAACACTAATGTCTACAAAACAAAGATCCATACGCAAATGTTAAGTTTATTGTTACAGTTCCTTTTTCAAAGCACAGCACAGTATTTAACTTTCGAGGCCATCATGACGTGAATAATGCTCAGTGTTCAGCAGCTCACCTTCTATTCATTCTTTCAAAGATGGCAAGTCTGGTAAGGCTGATGCTGTTGAAAGTAATAGTGACTTCTTGGTTTTATTTTCCCACTTATATGAGGGTTTGCTCATACTGGTGTTAAGAGTCACGTTAAGTTCAACAACCCATCATTTTCTGCTTGGGGTTCACCACTTAAGTAACAGATAAGCACTAGGATCTCTCAATTTATTCCTTTGCAAATACAAATATTGCAAGGCAAATATATAATACTGTAACTGAAAGTTATTCAGTCATATTCCATTATGATAAAAGGAACATAATGGAAAACATTCCAGATACTAAGAAAATGCCATTCACCTACGTGCTGCAGAAAGGTCTCTGAGCAAGTTACGGGTTATCATCAGGTAGCAATGATCAGAAAAATGGCCAATACTTTAGTACTATTTTTTTCTTCCCCAACATGATGTTATTGTTGTAGGTTTACAACTTGTCAATTTCTTCCCACCTACTTTAGCAAACTAACAAGTCCTGTTTCTAGATTTTATGTATTAGTAATTATCATGATAAACAATAACTTCTATGTTTTCGCTACTCACAATGTGCTATCCAGCAGTACTTGTTAAACTTTAGCACTAAAGTGGACCTGAAAATGTATGTAAACAAGTTTGTAACTCTTTTAACCTAAAGACTCACCAGCTTTGGTATTTACATAAACAAAAATATCTTCTTCTAAATGTTTAAAGAGAAATGTTCAGTGAAGTATCTTTTTAGACATGTGTCTTAGTATTCTGGCTTATAAAATGGGCATAGTAATAATAACTGCCACTTACTGAGATCAAGTAGGATAAAATATATGAGTGAGTTCAGTGTTTGGCTCATGTAACTGCTGAAATTATTATTCTGCACATCTGTTTAGAAAGTTAATAAATATCCTAACACTAAAATTCAATTTTGCAAAAAACACATTTCTACTTCTGATAATTAAAATCTTAATCAATTCTTCCTGCTTCTCCAACACCTGCCATAGTTTAAAGTCAAGTACTTGGGTAACTGGAAAAAAATAGACTAAACTTCCCTATGTCAGGTCTAAAGTTGGGAAATGCTAATTACCACAGCAAAAATGCCAGAAATTGTGAAATGGATGAGGTGATGACTGCCCCTTCACAGGCTCTTCAGAATCTTTGGGAAAATCCCAGACAATGAACATGTACAGGTCAGGACACCACCTATACCGTATCTCAGATCAAAAGAAAACTTTCTTTACGTAATTTGGGAAATATCTACTGAGTATACACCATACACTGGGGCATCAGAACATGTCCTTGCTTTCACTTTGTAAAGGAATAGTGTAGTCCCAATACCTGTGGACTTTAATCCAAAACACAAAATGCTATGTCCAGGCAGTCTTTTTTTTTTTTTTTGGAGACGGAGTTTCGCTCTTGTTACCCAGGCTGGAGTGCAATGGCGCGATCTCGGCTCACCGCAACCTCCGCCTCCTGGGTTCAGGCAATTCTCCTGCCTCAGCCTCCTGAGTAGCTGGGATTACAGGCACGCACCACCATGCCCAGCTATTTTTTTTGTATTTTTAGTAGAGACGGGGTTTCACCATGTTGACCAAGATGGTCTCGATCTATTGACCTTGTGATCCACCCGCCTTGGCCTCCCAAAGTGCTGGGATTACAGGCTTGAGCCACCGCGCCCGGCCCAGGCAGTCTTTTAATAGGTGTATCATTATATAGAAACACCTGAAACAAACAGAACTTTACTTTCTCATCACCTTTTATTAGGAAAGATTTGTTTTCCAGGACTAGAATGACCAACGTTTACTGTTATGGAGGTCAGCGTAGCACATTCTGGTGCCTATCTATAGGTTTAAGTGGCCATGCCAAATTTTAAAATAACACCAAAAAAAAAACAAAAAAAACAAAAAAAAACAAAAAAAAAAACACACACCAAAAAAACAGGGGAAACAGTTTCAAAGCATCTTATTTTAACGAGAGAATTTAGTTGAGATGAGTCTTCAAAAGGAAAATGATTCCTGAAGGGCAATGGGAAGATCCTACTCCTGATTGCCCCGTGACTTGGCTTCCTCAAGTATCTGACAGTGGCCAAAGGATGCAAAGCCACCTCAACTTTGTACAGGAGAGACAAAATGGGCCAATACAATAAAATGCCAACCCCAGTCTGAAGAACCACATCTCTTAAGTACTTTACAGCATTCATTTGAGGGTATAAACAGATTAACAGGGTTAATATTTACAATAATCATAAATCTATAAAAGCCCAATTTTTTAAAATTGCATTTTAGGTTTTGGGGTACATGTGAAGAACATGCAAGATTATTGCATAGGTACACACGTGGCAGTGTGATTTGCTCCTTCCTTCCCTTCACCTATATCTGGCATTTCTCCCCAATTTTTTAAAAAGCCCAATTTTTATAAAGAATTACCTATCCCATACATGTGGATATTTGTGTGTGAGATTTGCTTAAAACACTATACACTCAAATCCTTTCCCTTCTTTGTAAACAAAGCTAAAAAGATGTGTGGTCAGCTGGTTTCCTTTTGACCCTTTGTGAGTCAACTAAATTTATAATTTCTGAATTTCTGATAGAATATTCATTCCCACAGCCCCAAATGGCCTTCAGACCACACATTTTTTCCATCTGTAGTTCCTTTTTTCCCTTTTGCAGTGAACATGTAATGCTTTTATAATCAAATTATATTAAAAATACATTAGGTGGCAGAAGACCTTGGCAAGCATGCCAGCTAGGAAAGGTGGCATGATGCATACATCAGAGTATATTGTGAATTACTCAGGTTAAAAGGGCATTCAAAGCAATTATTCAATTCATCTGGAAATATGTGTGATATCACTGACAAGTATTCTAAAGTTATAAATTTTTTAAAAATCCAATTCATTCACATTATGTATTAAATATCTGAATTTTCTATTACCTCATTTAATAGTCCTTTCCTTCAAAATGGACAAAGTTTAGTAGAAACTGACAAATTTCAATTGCTGTAGGAGATGGCACACGGTGGTACAAAGGTAGAAGTGATAAACCTGGTGTGTGAATCTGAGTGGGGGTCCCGGGGATGTCTGAATTGGATCTCAAAGGAAAACAGACAAGGCCAGTGTGAGTTAAGGAGGGACACTACTATCAAGACATTACTAGCAGCTTTTGAAAAGGCATAGCAAGGTAAAACAGTGGCGTGCGTTGTCCAGAGAACCACAATAAAATGACTTTTGATGAAAACTAAGAAGGAAGGAGGAAAATACAGATGAGGTTTATGAGGCTGAAGAGGTTAAGTGAGGGCAATTCAGAGACCATATATGCCACAAGGAAGAACTTGGACTTTGACTTCTAGTGGTGCAGAAAACCGAGTAATTTTTAGCAGGAATAAATGATTCTCTGATTGTTTTTGATAGGTCCTTCTGGCAAGTAGTATACAGGATAACAAAGACAGGAAGGCCCCTAGAGAGTAGTTAGGCACTTATTTGGAGAATCCAGCAATGAGTGACAAGAGACCGAAGTGAAAACACTGAAGACATTTAGTGGACAGGAAGGATGGGGTGTAAGCGATGAAGGAACACAGCTCTCTGCCTTAACTGAGCGAATGCAGCTGTCAATGCATCATCAGAAGAGTGATGGTATTAACTTCTCCTGAAATACAGATGAAACAAAAAAGGGCTCAGACCTGTGAAACAAACTTTTAATAAGTAAGGTTTGAGGGCAGACCAAAAACGTGGTAACTCCAAGTGCCTGTATTCAAATTTGAGGAGTACAGAAAACACACTGGAGTTTAACTAAAAATAACCAAGAATCTGTAAATATTTCCTGATTCAAAAAACAGCCGTTTTACAATTAAAAAAAAAGGAGGTGGGGGAGACACCATTGCCATCTACAGCAAAGATGCCCAGAATGGTGTGAAATAAAGAACAAGTACATTAAAGGGCTATGGGGGAGGTGGGAAAAAGGAAGGTTATTTCATAGTTGGAGTCCAATGTGGACCTTGACATCTCAGGAGAATGTGCATAGGGTGGCCTTCTGTCAAGAAGGACCACAGAGTGTATGCAGTCAGGGAGACGGACATAAAACACTACATGTAAAAGGTGTGACTTAAATACTGTGGGAGTGATCAACTACATCAGTTAGACAATTTTGCAGAAGATGCAAAATTTCAGTGGGATCTTCACAGAAAGAGAGGAATGAGTCAGTTTCTCTACTTTTTTGGCCGACAACCCTATCTTCCATTCTACCAGAGCCACCACCTCTAGGAGCTCTAGAGGTTTGATCACTAATAACATTACTTC